GTATATTGTATATATATATATATATATATATATGAATATGTACATACATACATATATACGTATCGTATATATATTTATTATATATATATGTATGTATGTATATATATATACAGTATATATATATATAAATATATATAAATATACATATATATATATATATATATATATTTATGTATGTGTGCATATGTATTTTGTATATATGGATATGATGTTTAATGGTGATAATTATTTTTACATATTCAATGGTAATCTGATTATAGAGACAAATTACTTATTTTCTTATTGTATGACAGACATGACAGATTGTCGCTTAAATTTTTGCAAAGTTATATTAAACTTTTTAATTATTTATATTGTAAATTTATTAATACATGGAAATTACTTGAAAATAATTTTTGTTACAGAAAATGAAACATGACCAAAACAGTTTTTTAGAAATGAAAACTTAAAGAGAGAACGGAATTTGCGATTATAATGGAACCACCACTCACAAGCAAGATTCTACGTGCCCCTAATTTAAAAAGAGGCCAAGAAAATATTAGGATACAAGATAGAGTGAGTTAACTATAAACCTCGATATTATACTATTTTTTTCTTTTATATTATAGTCAATTCTTTCTATTTTTAAATGATTGCAAATCAAAATTGCCGGTTATCAAACAATTTTTGTCTTTTTAACATTTCCTATTTTTATTGTAACAACATTTGTATAGGATGAAAAATAATATATTTGTATAGAATAAAAATATTGTTTTATTTTTTATACAAAATTTTTATTTCATGTGATAAATATAAAATGATAGAATAAAGATGCAAAAAGATATTAAAAATATAAATATGCTAAGAATAAGCAACTCAAACTTGAAAAGTTTGACTATATTAAACATGTATACATGCGTGCGTGTAGGCAGTAATAATAAATGTGCACGAGAAAGTAATACTAAGAAGAATTACGCTATCTATAATGTTGTGTCAAGTATTATGATTATACATATATGTTACAATAATTCAGAGAAATCAAATTAGCATTTATCATCGACTATAATTTTTTTTACAAAAATCACGCTATTTAAAATTCTCTAGTATATTATTATGTACTATTATGACTTCTGTTAAGCTAGCATCTCTTCCCCATAAAAAAATCGAAAAAATATATATACTCAAATTAAATGTTATTTATGTGCTAATTATGTGTTCTAGTCCCGATTTTTGTGCTCACGCAGTTTAGCAGGAAATGGGAATTGAAATGAGGCTGGTTTAACGAAGTCAGCACTCTCTCCTATTAAAATTACACACAAGATAAAAAATTAATAGCTCAGAGTTAGTTGTGGTATTTATGTACTTTCAAACGCTATAAAAATAATTGGCCCATCTCTAATAGTTCACAAGATATAGGCCAAAAAGATAACGAGTCAACCGTAACAGGAGTCAACAAGAGTAAAGTACTAGTTAGAATACAGATAGCTAATCGGTTCTAGGTTTGAAATGTTCCTCTATTTATATGCTCTCAAAATATGCAACAACGAATTTTTGTGCTCATTCCCTATCACTTACAAACGTGAAATCAGTACCGTCCCAACGAACAAGAGTAAAGTACCGGTAAAAATAAAAATAGCGAATCGGTTCTAGGCGGTAGTACGGAATCGGTTCTTAAAATGTTCCTCCATTTATGTGCTCTCAAATGCAATATGCAAGACGCAATTTTTGTGCTCATCACCTATAACTTGTGCTCACTCCGTATAAAAAAGTCAACATCGAAACTTTATCCCTAACATATCAAAAGGTAATAAATAGAAACATTTTAAACCTACAACCAATTCGCTATCTGTGATTTAACTGGTACTTTACTCTTACGCGTACGTGCAGTGCACACTTTACGAGTGGTTTGTAAGTCATAGGGGATGATAAAAATTCGTTATTGCAATATTTTGAGAGTACATAAATAGAGGAACATTTTAAGTCTAGAACCGATTCATTATCTCTATTTTTATTCGTACTTTACTCTTGTTTGTTGGGGCGATGCTAACGTTCGGAGTGGTTTATTAGTCAGGGGATGAGCACAAAAAATTGGATCTTGCATATTTTGAGAGTACATAAATAGAGGAACATTTCAAGCCTAGAATTGATTCGCTATCTGTATTCTAATTGGTATTTTATTCTTGTACGGTTGACTCATATATTCATTTTTTTGGCCTATATTTTGTAAATTATTAAAGATGGATCAATTATTTTTATAGCGTTTGAAAGCACATAAATAGCACATAGTTCTGAGATATTAACTTTTTATCTTTTGTGTAATTTTAATGGGGGGGAGGTGCTAACTTTCATTAAGTCAGCACCCCCATTTTCAATTCCCATTTCCTGCTAAATCGAGCGAGCAAAAATCAAGACTAGAGAACATAAGTAGTACATAAATAGCACTTAAGTTGGGCATATGTATTTTTTCGATTTTTGGCAGAGAGTGATGCTAGTTTAACAGAGGTACTATTATGTCTTCCAAGAGGCTATTATCTTTGATTTTAAAAAACTTGATATATATTAGAACTATTCCTCCTATTAATTAATAATAGAATTCAACACATTTAACACATTCACAAAAAAAATTAGTTTAAAATTTGAAGTTAAAATTGGTTTAAACTTATTTTTTAATGAATCAGAGAAACAAGTTTTTTAGAATGTCCGTGATGCAGAATGTAAGATGACGATCTAGTGAGTGGATTATTGCATTCAAATTTCACTTTTTTCTTTTTTCTGCATTTATTATTGTAAATTGTGCGACATATTTTTAACAAGAAACTTTTAAT